ATCATTGCTCATCTAAAGCATTACACCGTAAACATATCATGTGTTTTGTCATAGTAGACCAATGGCATTTGGTATTGCTCCTATCAGAATTTAATTTTTTCACATCCGCATTCACTCAAGGGCTACATATTTTTGCACGTTATATAGATGATGGGTTCATGGTGACAAATAGAACTAGCGCAGGCACTTTAATTAACACTCTTGGTCCTTTTTATCATCCACAGATTCCGATTACCTTTAGCTGTAATTTGTATACTCTGTTGATTATTATAGGCCTTGCTATCTCAATTAACCTTCATACACTGCTTTTTAGTTCCATCCTTTATCAAGTTTATCAAAAACCCAAACATAAATATATGTATCCACATGACACATTTCACATTAATTTTAATCTTTTGTACAACCTACTCTTAATAAATACCATAATAAACATATTCCTAAGCTTACTAAAACATTTTGTAATATTACAAAACTAAACGCATTGCTATTAACTAAGAAAAGCTACACAATAATCTTGTATGTATTTGTATCCTATTATTAATTTTTCCCATATATATCATTCTACATATGCATGTCAGTTTTTGCTCAAGGATGTACGAATGTTATATGATTATAATTATGAATGGAATAATTAATTATATATCATGCACGTAGGAAGGTTGGGGTTTTACGTGGTTTCCAAACAAAAACGATGACACTTAGTTGTAGAATATATTTACCACTATGACAAGTAGAGTTTACTAGCATAGAGTTCATGGAATTGAGTTGATGACCTGATATAAGCGCGTTTGCACAAGAGTTCTAGATTTGTCCTGGGTCAGGTCTAAGACAAGTCTAGGTAATCTGTGCCAGGTGTATTTCTTCCTGATGGTATGCGTCTATGCGATAGCTAAGATGATTGACAGAATACTTGGAAAAGACTTGAAACACGCCGAAAAGTGGTAATACAGTCAGTGACGTGGACAGCCTGACAATTTGGTCATGCTATGCAAATTTCAAGTCATTGGAATTATTAAATTCCCTAGAAATTTATTGTTTTTACAGTCAATCAAAATCACGTTCCAGGTTAGCTCCACCTTTTCTGATGGCCAGGATTTGGTAGCCAGGTCTAGGCCTGGTCTAGGTGAGATAAACAACGTTCATACCTAGGCCTAGGCTGGTCCAGATCAAGTCAAAGCACGTAGTGTAAACGGGGCTCTATAGAGCACACTATACGCATAATACATATTAGAAACTAAACTTGTCGTTCTGATTGTAACTTTTGAGCCAACGTTCGTCCTACGGCTCCAACAATCCTGCTCTAATCAATGGCTTGAAAGACAATCCAGGACAAAGGGGTCGTTTAATATTGGTGGAGAACGCGGGCAACTTTGTCAATAAAAGCGAGAAAACATTTAGCTGTGGCCTACGCGCACGGCACGTTAAAAATGGGTACCCGTGCCCGGCCTTTGTTTTGATAGCCTGAACACTAATAAATTGAGCACAGGTACACATTTTAGCCGTGTCTTGCTAAAAAATTGGGTACAGCGTGAACGGAGCGTTTGGCTGCGGCAGCGTGTTGTAGGCCAACCTCGTACCCCGGGTCTTTTGTAGGCTCGTTGTGGGCAGCCTAGTCCCAGGCCTCTCATCGCGCGTGTTTTATATTTTCGTGACGTCACCGAATGAAACGCGCGCGAGAGGCCTAGCACAAAATGTTTTTTAATCTTAACGGCCCGTTTAATGTTGTAAACTTGAAATTAGAATTGTTATTACAAAGTAAATGTTTGCAATTTACAACAATAACCGTTATAAAGGAAGCGAGAATAATTTAAATTGGCGGATTGAACCTTATTATAATCATAAACATGTACGTACGGACTCGAGTTTACTTGATAGTCGATAGCGTTGACAGCGAATGACATTGAAACGTTTGTATGAATATTTCGAAGTCCTGGCAGTATAATTAATATCCGGTAGCTTATTTCAAGCAAATATTTGACTAGCGACGTCGAACAAGGCCAGTTAACCGCGTCGTAGATCGTAAACTGACCTCAATACAGAAAGTGGGGACAAAAAGTCCCCACTTTAGCCAAAATACAAAACATTTTGTTCTAGGCCTCTCAGTTCCCGCCTCGCCGCGTATAAGGAAGGTTAAGAGGCCTAGGGACTAGGCTGCGTTGTGGGACCTCGGAGCCGGTAAATAAAATATAAGTATGTATGTATACGAAGTGTGAACAATGATGTAATAAGACTGGGCAAGCTATATTTTTGCTGTATATATAATGTCTAAACTATACCCACGAAATTTATATTAAGTACAATAACGCAAGTTATAATAATCTACCTTGCAAATTTATAATTCTAGCGCGATTATATTCCGCTAATATAAGTCTTTGTTCTCAAAACTTCAAACAACATCATCTTGCAAACTGAAGATTTGATTTATTAAACACACAACACTCCCAATTCTGCTGATGTTTCGACTTTTCTAAAGTCAATGTCATTGCAAGTGATAACTATAGGTATTGATATATAGCTATAACGCATTAAATTTCGCTTATGCCATGGCTGAAATTGATAACTCTAAAGGCAGAATTCCACTCAAAGCGAAATCGTTCGCTAGCGAAATATTTGCATGTTTTCTTTTGAATTCTAACAGCATAAATAAATTAGTGCAACTTGACAGTTCTCAATTCAAAAGAAAATATCCAAATATTTCGCTAGCGAACGATTTCGCTGTAAGTGGAAATCCGCCTTAACACAGTTAATATTTCGCAAACGCATATCTGATGAATGTTTTTCCATCTCCCAAGGTTCTTTAGATTCCGAACTTTTTTTTAATGTTTCTTCGACACTTCCCTCGCCGACAGGAATGACTACCAATCTTTTAGTTTTCCCTGCACTGTGCATGATAAGAGCAATTATAAGAAGATTTGTTTTACAAAATACCGCGTTTTTGCAAAACATTGACTGTTAATTTTGTTTGCCATAAATTTAAACTATATTTCATACACATATCTTAGGCTCAAGGACAATAAACCATGGGAGATTCAAAAGATCGGACACCTAATTAAAATGACAATTTACCAAAATTTGAAACTTACCAAAATCGTCGCCGACGTTATTGACCGGCATTGGGATTGCACGCATGTCAGAAAGTTCACTCGATTCATTCTAGGAACAGTATGTGGCATTGTTAATTATTGTTACGGTCAGTATTCCGTTTCAAACCTTTATTCATTTACGGTATCGTGTGAGCGTAACCAATAAATGTAAAATTTTCGGCCTTTTCATCCGATAACTGTTATCGTGTTGATGACCATATATAAGCGGTTAACCCGCATCGATCGTTCGTTCTTTCTGTTTTTTGATGGTTAATAGTTGTCTAGCAGCTAGGAAAACAATAACAGGTATTCTTTTTAACTCGTTGCATGTATTTTCCTTATGTTCAATATTGTTCAACTCAGGAATTGTAGCATCACCTGAAATTTTCCCCCGCTGACCGCTAGACCGGTATAATTAATCCAACGTGTTGCAAGTGAGAAGGGAGCTTCTCTTGCCCGGCACTTGACACCTGGGTGGGGTCAGGCTCAGGGCCATTCTATTCTGATGAATGTTTTTCTTTCTCAAGGGGTTCTTGTAATATACAGATAATATAATATATATATTAATAACTAATTATAATACTAAAATAGAGATGATTGATATTATGTTGACAGGACTAATTAAGGATGTATAGATAGAATAAGAGAGTATTGTAGAAGGGTTAAAGATGATGTAAAGTCCGTTCTGCGCGTATATACCGCGCATAACAATGTTTGTTTACGTTTGTTATATAATCTTTACTTGACGTATGTGTCGTTTTAATTTTCTTATTTTCTTCTCGTTCTCGCTCGACCGGCTGTGATGAATACGCTTATTTTATATTATATTTTGAAGAAAATATTATATTTTGAAGAAGATATAAAACGAAGCTTATAAATAGACCGTTACTTAAAACGTCATATATTTGTAATTGTAGGACAAGCCAGAAAGTAGCGTCGGTAGCGACGACAAATAGCTTCTCCATTTCGGGTCCTCATTCAGCAAATAAATTCTTGAAGCATTCCTTTTACAATAATAATACTTTTTTCTAGCAGCCTTACCTTCATCACTCGCAATTCGACCCTCTTCGCCTTGCGACATAAAATAAAATAATTGTGCTTCCGAAAATGTCCGTTTGTGATACAACGCGCTAATATCGCATATCATTTTAAAACATTCCAAAAGTTGCTCCCCCACTGATGGAATGTGTTGCTGCGCGGAATATATGCGCAGAACGGACTTTACCTCATCTTTAAGAAATACAAGATTTAGAATAGAAGATCGATATGGAAAGAATATTACATTGGCGACGAGGATGGCAGAAGAAAACGTCCAAGAAGATAATACAAATGTACGAACAGTGACATCGTCTCTTTCGATACAACCCATAGCAGAATTCAACCCAGACATAGAAATCGGTGCTAGCTTAGCGACGCGATGGAACACATGGCTCGCAGACTTTGACATGTTTCTACTCGCTAGTGGAATTCAAGATAAAAAGCGACAAAGAGCGCTTCTTCTTTATCAAGCTGGCTCGCGCATCCGCGAGATATTTCGACAGTTAAATGATACAGCCTTACAGGCGATGACGATGACTACGAGCGTGCCAAAACAAAACTTACGGAATACTTTGAACCACAAAAAAATCGCCGCTACGAAGTATACAAATTTCGTGAAGCTAAGCAGGAACAATCGGAAACTTTAGATCAATTCCATACCCGATTACGAAAGCTTTCTCAAACCTGTGGGTTCGCTAATGTTGACTTCGAAGTAGAACAACAGATAATAATGGCAGGGACTTCTTCAAGAATACGCAAGAAAGCCCTAAGAGATCCTGAGTAAACACTCAAAGATATCCTTCTGGATGGTCGCAGGGATGACTGAGCAGAGTAAATACCAAGCCCGAGACATAGAATCGAAGGACCAGAACAGCAACA